AGTTTTTAAGAATTTTTTAGAATTTCGATAATATAAAAACATTTCGATACATATTATAGAGATTCGAAAGTGAAAAATTGTTTCGGTAAGTTTTCGATAACGTAAATATAATTCAGTACAATTTCAGAATTTCGAAAGCGAAAAATAGTATCGGAGCTATTTATAGGATTTCGACTATTAAAAATCGTATCGATAGAATATCATGAATATCGAAAAGTTAAATTTATTTCGGTTCAAAATTAAAAAATTAGAAATCGTTTCAAACTTACCGTAACAAAAATAGAGCTTGGATAAGTTTTTTTTTAATCGAAAATTCAATTTTTGCAAAAGTAAACAACCCTAGTTAGAACCCAATAATTCTCACGCGAGTCTATGTCAAAGTAATGTTTTTAAATATACTGTTTTTTATGTTTTAAGTGTAAAACTCACTATTAAAAGTTATCAAATTGTGTTCCTTAAAAGAAAATAAAATAAGTATAATTTATGATATCAAAATTTTATTCTACTATTTACAAAATTAATTTAGACGTTTTGTATATCATTTTGAGGGGAAACAAACAGTTTTAAAAAATTTTGATTTTTTCGCTTGAATATAATTTTAAAAAAATAACATATCTCTAATCAGAGGCAATTTTACCAATAAAATAAGGATAAGAGGGAATGGGGGGAGGGGGTGATTCCTTATAAAAGACCGACTGCTTCCTAAACAAAAAAACATAAAAAAGATCCTCAAAACTAAAATTCACCCAACTTATATGTATCAAATACCCAACTAGCTGACTACATTCCTTTAAAAACCAACTATAACTTGAAAATCACCTTTTTTGGGGGACGTCTTACCCCCGTATAATCGCCTCTTTCACTCACTTATAATTAAAATATCTCACAATTGAAAACATACTAATATATTTTTAAACTTTTCTTAATTATTAAGTTATTTAAGAACTCTTGTATTATCTTATTTTTTATAATTTATATATATATATATATATATATATATATATATATATAAAATTTTATATTTTAACGTTTTTTTTTGTATATATATATATATATATATATATATATATATATATATATATATATATATATATATATATATATATATATATATATATATATATATATATATATATATATATATATATATATATATATATATACATATATATATATATATCACATTGCAAAAATGAATCGTCCATTTTCTGATTTGAAAGAACTAATATTATTACAGGTAGAAAATGGTTTAGACATGGGACGTATTTTACAATCTGATCACGCATGTGCTGATATTGTTTATCACATTTCAAATGAAATACGCACTAAGCTTGTAAAATATATTCTTCATAACGGTAATAAAGTAGGGTTTATGATAGACGAATCTACCACGATGAGCAAAAAGTCTGCTCTGTCAATCTGCTTGAGAGTGAATATTTCAGAAATAAATATTGTCAATAGTATTTTTTTTGATCTTATTGAATTAACAAATACAGAAGCCTCGTCTGTTGCAAACTCTTTTATATGTGCTTTACACGATTTTGGTTTTGACAACAATTTTTTATTAGGTAATTGGGTATCTTTTGCATGATGGTGCTTCTAATATGCTTGGGAAAAAGGCAGGTATGGCCCAGTTACTTTTGAATCAGTTTCCTAATTTGATTTTATGGCATTGTAGCAATCACCGATTAGAGTTAGCAGTAAATGATGTTGTGCGCGATATCTTACCAATTTGTCACATGAAAAGCTTTTTTGATAAATTATATTCCATTTACAGTGCATCTCCTAAAAACAAAAAAGAACTGGAAACTGTTGCTATGACTTTAAGTGTAAAACTAAATTCCATTGGACGAACTCTAGGCACTAGATGGGTGTCGTTTAGCGCTCGATCTGTGATGGCTGTTTGGAATAATTATGCAGCATTGTATCAACACTTTCATGAATCTTTATTGGATTTAAGGCGTAATGGAGGAGATAGAGCTCAATATGCAGGTCTTAAAAATAAATTATGTGATATCAATTTCATAATCAACATGGGACTAATGCTAAATGCTTTAATAGAACTAGAACATCTTTCTAAAAAATTACAAGATAGGCAAACTTCTTTACCTGATGCACATCGGCTTATCACCTTAAAATACCATATATTTCAATCAATGAGAAATAATTCAGGTGAATATTATTCGCAAACGCAGCTTGCAGCAGAAAAGTTTGAATTTAAAGGCGTCAAACTACAGATCGAAAAAGTTTCTAAAATTAATCAAAATGAATTTTTTAGTAAACTAAGTGAAAATCTTGATTCTAGAATGTTAACAACTAGAATGTTTACAAGACAAAGAAAATGATCCAAGGAAAGAAAAATACGATAATTTAATAAAAAATTTACAAATTTTTGATAAGCCACAATGGTTTGCAGACCAAGATCCATGCTTTGGAGATAACGATATTAGACAATTAGCAAAAACTTTAAATATTTGTGAAATTACGGCAGTCCAAGGATTTCGTGATTACATTTCTACTGGTGACTGTAATAAAACCCCTAATGATCTTCAGCCTCTGAGAACTGCTACAAACACCTTGATTGTTTCAACAGCTGAATGTGAGCGTTCTTTTTCTACTATAAATATAATCTTATCTTCCTTGCGAAACTCTTTATTAATAAAAACTGTGTCGAGTTTAATGTTCATTTCATTAGTAGGTCCACCATTTACGCATTTTGATCCAAAGGATTATGTTATTAAGCAGTTTGGGAAAAGACATCGCGATGCTAATTTTAGGAATTGTGAAGCGCCGGCATTAAAGTTTATAAATGAAAGGGAAACATTTTGAAAGATATTCTAACCGAATTTTTTTTCAATTATTTAAAAATTGGTAAATACAAAAAAATAAGACTTGTTCAAAAATAAAATGTTTAAATATACCATTGTTTTTTGATTGCTTAATGACGTTTGATGTGAAACTCAACTCAATATTTTACGGTGACAGACTCTTAAGAATATAAAGGAACTCAAGTTGTTTTTTTAATATAGGTTTTTTACTATAGGGATACTCTAGGGATTTATAATTCCTTTATTTAATCTACACAAAATACGAAATCTATAATTTTAGGATAGGTGAGATGGTGATTAGAAAATATTAAAAACCATCCCGGTACCTTTTTTTCCCACTTCGAGCACTGTATAATATACAGTGCTCGAAGTGGGAAAAAAAGGTACCAAAATCCATGAACTTCTCCTCCTAAATAGAAAACAAAAAGCTCACATAGTTTCCCGTAATCACTCCTGACAAATGTTTTTGAGGCAAGGGCTTCTTTTCCAAACTCCACAGCTTTCTTAGCAATTTCATAAAGGGGTGACCCAGCCTGAAGCTGGCTCCAATCAAACCTAACTAGGCCTAGCATTTTGTCCACCTCTTTCTTAACTGAATGCCAAAATTTCTGGAGTTTCACATACAGCCCTTTTTTTGGGCCCTTGGTCTTCTCTTAAGTTAAAGCCTCCATAAAGTGTGAGATGTGTATTTCTAGCATATGTCTTCTACAGAGAAACCATATAAGTGGAATGTTAAGGATGGAGCTAAGGATAACAACAGCTCTAGAGTGTATTCCAGTATTAGATGCCGTAGTGTCACAGCAAACAGCAAATATTTGATCAACAATGTTGAAATACTCTAGCAGATTCAAAATTGCTTCAGCCTGGTCACTACCTTTGGAACTTGCTGTCTGAACAACACCTAGCTGTACGTCATCTGTGTCATCCATATCAGGGGATGTAACACTCGCCGCTATTCTTTCTACAGCAACAGTTATTTTCAGATCTTCACCAATCTGTTTCCCCTTCTTTCCATCAAAATGAACACATAGCTTTTTTCCCTTCAGAGTAGTTATAATTTCTTGCCTGAGTTTATCTCCTACTGCCTCTATTTTTTGGAATCTTTTTCTATGGACTGTACTTCTTGATAGAATAATATCTTCTAGATTTGCACCAGCTTTATTGCAAATAGCAGCTACTAATGAATTTTGTGGTCGTATACCTACTATGTATCGGGCAGAAACTGCAACAGTACAGTCAATCAGTTCTTCAGCACTTATACTTATCATTATCTTAGATTTAGTAGAATGACTGAATCTATTAGATAAATCTTCATCATCTGAAGAATCTAAACTTAGTTACGATTCAGAATCATTTCCAGACGAATGCAAAGAAACTTCAACTTCATTGGATTTTACTGCATTCATTGTGATTCTACCTTTTTCCATTGCCTCCTCCATCCTCTTGAGCCTAATATTTTTATTTTTAACTGAATTTTGAAATACTTCATCAAGTTCTTCTGTAATATACATGTTTTGCTCTCCTTTTTGATCTAGATAGAACTGAATATCCTCATATTTGGCATTCTCACAACGAAAACGATACTGATTGACTTTTTGTTCAAAATTTGCCAATGAAATATCAAAGAGTGTATTACTCTCCACTAAAAACTTATACTGTATCTTAGAGAAGTTGCTATCGCTAGAGTTCCAGTTTAATGATTTGAGATTATATTTGTTACAAATTTGTGTACTTATTATGGAGCTTCAGTATCTTATCCATGACACTGGATCCACTGATGAGAAAATCTTGAAACCCTGCTTTCTTCCAAACGTCTATTACAGCGGAGGAAACACATCTTTGTTCAGAATTCTTGCAGAAACTATCTTTGCAGATCAGGTCCCAGTTCTCATGCTTCTGAGGGCAGGCTACTATTAACTTAGTAGATTGAAATCTTATAGATCTAAAATAAAAGTAGACAAGTATTAATTGTTATGATATTTTTTGTTGTTACGTAATTGTGTCTCTTTTTAAAAACATTTAGGGGAGGGGGTGATACTAGACTAATTATGTATTGCATAAAATAGACCATTTTTTTATCATTGTTTTCTAGTATATTTATATAACAATAATTATTATTTGTTTTACCTGGGAGATTTTAGAAACTGGATGTATTTAAGAAAGTTCATTGAT